AGAGGAAACAACATTTGATGTGAAATGCTCTATATGTATATATATACATGTACATATATAGTGTCAGCTGCCACCAAGTACTACTGTGTTAAACAACTGAAGAAGAAGATCTGTAAGAATACGAAGTACATAAAAGAAACACCCAAAAGGTAGCATTCCCAGATGGACAAAAAAAGGAACTATCTAAAAAATAGATTGGCTGTCAGCCCACAAGGTTAACCACTGGCTGGCAGTAAGGATACCTTTTTCCTCTCATAAAATAAAAATCCATAAATAATAAGCCTGCAGAATTATCCTCATTAGTTCTTTGGTTTTAAAAATAGGTTAAAACAAATATGTCATCAACAGCATACATAACTTGGACTTATCTTCCCGTGAGGCAGACAAATTGCTGGACTAGATTAATTCCTTCCAGACTTACTTTTCAGTGCACTAAAGATGTGGCAATTTTAGGTAAGTTTAATGTTTTGAATGAAGTACTGTACCCTAGAGAAATAGTGGGGAAACTAGAGTGTGGAACGTGGAATCAAAGACCACAACAAGGACATTAGGTAACCACATACCAAATCAGACAGACCTGTGTTTTTACTGTATTACACTTAGTCTTTTGATTATTTTAATTCAGTAAATTAGGCCCAGCATTAAAAGGGACAACTCACAGACTCTGTATCTCTCCTCCACCCCCCCTTACTCTGCTTAATATTTTGCAATCCATTTTTCCTAATACTGTAGATGTCTCAGGTCACAGTCACATGAGTTTCTTCTGCTGCTGCTGTGCCACCTCGCACTTATCATTCTGCTGCAGTAGAAGGGCATATGGAAGAATTTCTTGTTTGGCACTCACATAATCAAAACTGCAGTCCATCAAGTGGTGACATGTGAATTCCACACTGAACAAAGAAGTTCAAGATGCACTGTGATGTGCACTGTCTTTTGGGATGAGAAAGAGGTGATCTTTCCAGATTTCCTGAACCTGGACAGACTACTGATGGTGACTATGTTGAAAAATGGCATTTTGAAGCTGAGAATTTGCTCTATGAGTTAGTGCTATTGTGCTCTTTACATCTGTGATTTCCTTGGATATAAACAGGAGGCATTCCTTTCAAAACAACCTATGTTGAAAAAACATCTGAAATGAGTACTAAATCTTTACACGTCATGGGAAATAAAATACCACAACACGAAATTTGGGAGCCTGTATGAAGTCATGTATTCCAACTGTGTGATATTTATCACCATGTATGAAGTACAGATTCTCCTCTACACATTAAGTAAAAAACCTTGAAATTCTCATCACCTTTAAAGTGGTTTGAGAATAAGGAAGGGAGTTAACAGAGAAGGATAAAGTGTATGAGTTCTTAGATCTATCAGTGAAGACAACATAAAGTGCATTCCTCATCCTTCACAAACAGAATCAGCCCCCCCGTCTGTCTTCTTCACTGTATTCTGCTCTACTGAATTTTGGAATTAAAGTATCTACAGGTATCTACATGAGAGGACTTCTAACCTGTCCTCATTTTTGTCTCAACTGAGTACAGCAAAGGACACTGAGAGATTTCTTAAAGGTCAACCTGTAGGACAAGGAAATAAAGAAGTATAATTTTATCTAAATTACACTGTTATATAAATCATTCAGGAAGTTTGACCAAAATGGACCAATAGGGAAAATGGGAAGAGAGGAAGGCAGACAAGTTACCAAACTTATGAAGGTTACAATTAGATCAGAAAAAGTCAATTTACCTGACAACAGGGTGGTTTTAGACGTCACCAAACTGCCGCATCTACCATTTTACCCACTTGCATTACTGAGAGGAAAAGTTTAGGAAGGAACACTCTCAAGGACTTTTCATAAGTTCTCATTCTTGCCATCAGAAAGGGGAGAAGGAAAGTTTTTCTCTGACTTGTTTGACTTTTTTGGTTCCTGAAAAGTTTTGCAGAGAACAGTAAGAAAGTGCACACTGTTAAAAAACATTTGTTAAAAAAAAAAAAGGGAGAATAAGTCACACAGAATAGAGCAACAACAAAACCCATCCAAAATTCATGCATCAAATTTCTGCCACCAATTTAAATGAATAAATAAAATCTTTTCAACTAAAAACAGAAATATGAGAGGCCAGCAAGATCCACAAGAATACTCCAAAAGTCACCCTCAAAACAAACAAAGAAAATCTGCTTTATAAATACTGCAGTTTATAGTACTTTACGAACATTTATGAAACCTGCAGTGTTCATTTTAAAACAGCTCCTAGAACAGTGAAAAATTTAATTTTTAAAAGAGACAGTAGCAACAGAGGTTACCTGTCTGAGCACCTACAATTCCACAGAGAGAACAGAAGTGGGTCGTTTATCTTGCACCAGCCATAATGCCCATAAACCTTCTCAAAAAGAGCGAGGCGTGAGAAAGATATTGTAAATGCAAACTGTTTTCATGAAGTCTTTTTAAGCCCTTAGGGTCACTTATACATTTAACTGACAGATATCCACAACAAAAGGGAGAAAAGATTAAGCAAATGTCACTGGTGTCACGTGTTGGATTCTGAAGTCCCATATAATACCTTAAGAAGTATCCTTTGCATCTGAAGTACACTGGTGCTCAAGAGGATACTTCCTGAATAAGTATCTCACATGAAAGATAGCTCTCAAAGTAGAAGAAAATGCACAAATAGTGACCACTAGTTCAGAATAAGAAGCTTTAACAGTCCGCATACTCATCAAGCATTGACCTTCTATTATTGCATTATGAATGATGTGGTGTAACACTGAATTACAATTTTTTATAAAACACACTAAAGCATTAAATACAAAGCTTAAGATACAATCCATACATTGACATAGCAGGACATCAATTAGGAACATGTTAAATTGAACAGAAGAAAGTCTCCACTGTTACAAAAAAAAAAAAAAAAAAGAAAGAAAAAAGAATGATCAGATGTAGTTTAAGAAACTTACTGTTGCAAGAGAGTTTCTAACTGGCTTCTTCAAGATTAAGAAATACAGAAATATTTCTATCACTGTAAGATATTATATAATATCCAGCTGTATATTTACTTTTTCAGCATAAAATTCCAAACTCAAATATGCAGGTAGTTTTAGTGCAACTGTATGAAAGTTTAGCATGTGTTTTTCAGCATATGGAAATGGAGGAAATACAGCATATAAAGCTGAGGTTTGTAAAGTTCACCTTCAATGGGAAATACTGGCCTGATTACAACAGGTTACACTTGGATACACTTTTTTTTTTTTTTTTAACTTAAGTAAAAGCAAGAACCTTACTCTGCATCCCATATTATTTTGTACATTTCACTATTTCAGAAGCAATGGATAAATAGTGAGTAAATACGTCAGACAAGTGCCATTTGTACCAGTAAATCTTCAAGTAGGGTTTTCATATGCAACATCAATAACCTATGTATAAACAAACATAAATGTTGTTTCAAATATTGCTTCCTTTCCTGATCACTATGAAGACTTCTCTCCAAAACTGCTTGGAAGCACCAACCACAGAGGAGTATCTTATCACAAAGGAACCAAACTGTAAGTTTCTCAACCCACTGTTTGTCAAAAAATCTCATGGCTATTTACTACATCTATTTTATTACGGTAAAATGTTATCTGGATATTCTGAAAGGGTGAGAGAAATGCAAAGTTACTGTGTAACACAACATTTCTCCACAAAATAGAAGGGAGTCTTAAAAAAACAGCCCAGAATGTTCAGCTACCTGTTCTTTTGCCTTAAAGATATTATTGTGACAGAAGTACAGAGGTCCTACAGCTGACTCCCTGTTTCTATTCCACATTTGCTTTATTTGAGCCACAGCTGAAAAGGTGAAGACTGACCCATCACTTCTCAATGAGTGCAAGCACCTACCAATAAAAAGGAAAAGAAAAAGGAAAAACAAAAAAGAACCAACATCCAAATTCCCCTTAGATAAACAAACAAGGGGAGAGGACTTTCTGAAGAACAGTGTGCTGCTCAGTGACCAGAAAATCAGCTTCCTTTTGTGTTCTGTGTTTCTGCAGCTCTTCATAGAAGTTAAAGACCTTTATATTCTTCAGATATAACCTGTGCACTTGAAGGTTTAGGAAGAAAAGACCGCTCCAGACCGCTGAGCCCCCTTTTGTTGCTGGACCAGCTAGTCCACTTCTCCTGCTTAATACCACAAGTCAACCTTACACTTGATTTTAATAATAATATTTAATTCTACCAAAAAAAAAAAAAAAAAAAAGCCATTTTATTACATTCCTTTTAAAATTAAAAAAAAACAACTGTACAAAGAAGCATGATCAAACCTCCACAAAAGCAGGTTAATACTGTTCTGTTTATTGCCTCTTGAAGACTCTCTGCATAGTGTCCACAAGTTGTTTAAGGTCCAAGTGAAGATAAAACAGCAGAGCAGCAAAGAGGTGAAGAGGGGCCACAAAGGTGGGCAGTGCAGAGCCTCAGAGCGTACATGGGACATGCTTCATTAAAGTATCCAGGAAACAGCAGCATTGCACACACACAACCCCCCTCCAAACAAACCCTACTTTCACAAGATTGTTCTTCAATTGTAAACGTTTTACTTTGTGTATTTAAAAAAAAGGCTTATCTTTTTATATATATATATATATATATATAAATATATATATAGTTCCAGGGCTTTATGATCCCAGAAAACTGGGAATGGAATGAGAACAGAGGGAGGAGAAGGTGGAAGAAAAGTAGGAGGGGAAAACAGGGACTGAATAACTGACTCAATATCTCTGTTCTGGTTATGTGTTACCCAAAACAGTTCAAGACTAATGAGAAAATGCACAGCCAGAACAATTAAGAAAAATCAGGCAGCCTAGAAAAAAATTCAGATCTAAATAGACAAAACTCAAAAAGAAAAAGCAAAGCAAATGCGCGTTCACAAACACACACAAGTGTGTGCGTTCACACCACATACACATTAGAGTACAGAATCAATTTGTTAAACGTTTATGGACCTAGGTTATACTTTTTTTAATTATTATTATTCTGGCTGAGCTCTCTTCCCTTTTTTTTTTTCCTTTTTTTTTTCTTTTTTAAAATTTAATTTGCTGCATGTTTGCCGAAGAATTGAGAACTTCTCAGTTATGCACTTTGGATTTCTGACAACATCAGCTTTTAAATATTCTCAATGGGAAAAAGTAAGCCTTCTAAGTATTGTATGAACTGCAACTTTATTCTAATGTACCTCTAGATTTCTAATCACTTTTCACCAACTTTTCACTTCTCCACACCTTATCACATTTCTCCCCCATAAAAAGCAAAAATACCCCTCCCACTAAAAAAAAAAAAACAAAAAACAAAAAACACCAAAACAAACAAAAAAACATAGTACAGACTTTAACTCAGTGTTTTCTTAGCAAGTAGTCTGCAGTGTTTTCACTTTGGCCACTGTTATAGATGCAGGCATAGAGAAGGGAGTGTTGGACTAGCATGTATTAAAAAAAAAAGGAACATTAACATTGCAGATCTCTCTCAAAATGACTAAAACACTAACAAATACAAGCCAATGCACATTTTTTTTTTAAACTAGTGTAATTTCTTTTCACATTGGATTAAACATTATTTTGTATACCAAACATTACAGTGCTGTTTAACTCCTCCAATCATGCAAAAAATAGTTAAAATGTGCCAGTTCTACCACAATATAATATGACCCATTCCCCTGCATACCTCCCAAACTCAGGATTTGAAGTGAAAAAATCTGAGGTACTAGAAATCCTCTTTCAAATGCCTTATAAAGAAAAACAGACACAAATCTGCCTGTTAATATCAAGATGGCACCAATTTGAGATTTGTGCAGAAGCTCATATATCCTCTCTGTCTCAATATTTGAAGGGCCACATCCTGAAAGGTCTGAAAGAGATGATTTCAAAACTATGCTGAATTTACCACAAGAGTGGGAACAGTAAGCATCCAGGAGTTTTAAATACCTGGCATTTAACACCTTCAACTCTCACTGACAATTAAAGGCAGTCAGCAATTTACAAGATCAAGCCTTAGAGAGCACAAGAGTTAACTGCTGCATTAATTCATAAAAGTTTCTAGAGAGCTGCCAGAACTTTCTGAAAATCTTCCAGTTAATCATATTTCAATGCTTTCCTGTGAACACCCATGCACTGCAATATGTTGCAGAACCAAAGCAGCATCCAAATAAAACTCCCGCTTAGGCTGTAAATTAAACATCTTCATTACAACAATAGTGCTGAAGAATTATCACAATATTATGTTCTGCAAAAAAATAGAGGCAGCTGTCACAGAACACGTGCCTTTTAATTTTGCTTTCTTGACAGATTCTCCTTTCCTCATTTCTCTGAGTTCCTCTAATAAACAGCACTGCAAGTTGGTTTCAAAGAAAATTTTACAAGAGAGTTCTGTTGGTCATCTATTTACATGTGGCATCACTCCACAAGAAGTTTGATCTCATTGGCTAATAGCTGGTTCATGTTGAATAGAGCCCCCGGGAGCTTGGTGAGCAACTCTCTCTCCGTGGTCTCAGGGTCGCTGTCGACAGAGCTGGAGCTAGCACTCATATTGTCGACAACGGCACTAGCTGGAGGGCCCAGCTCTGGCTCGCTAGTCTCGCTTGCCGTGGACACCACAGAGAGTAAGGACATGCGCCGCGTCAAGCGACCGGGGGTTAGGAGAGAAGTGGCATAGTCCGCTATGATACCAGCTACATCTAGATTACAAGCCTTGTCAAAGGCAATGAAACCTACATTTGCATTGGCCTCACAGACGTAGAATGAACCGTCGTCCTTCATCAGTAGGTCAATGCCACACACGTCCATCCCCAGGATGTTGGACACCTGGATTGCCAGTTGCTTGCCTTGTTCACTCAGTGAGCACATCATCCCTACACCACCTGGAAAAAAGTGAAAAAACTCAGTATTTATTCTGGACACAGGTGACCAACATACTTCTTGCCTGGCTGGGCAGTTCAGTTGAAGATCCAAAGCAAGCCTGCAAGCAGAGGATGATAACTCAAAAAGCAACCTTCTTGCCACAACAACTGCTAATAACTTGAAACCTAGAAGGACTTCAAAAGATACTGCAAAAGGCAGATCGAAACTATGACTTGTTTAAAAAATAGTAATAAAAATAGTAAAGATAGATGTCATTGTATATTTTTGCTATCTTCAGGGAATTAAAAAGATGACTATGTAAATCACCTCTGTTTTTACTTCTAAGATAGAGGCCTTCTATACATACCCTTGTTTCCTCCCTTAAGACAGAGGCTTGCTATATGTATTTGTAAGTTATCACAGTAAATCATCCAAGAACCAGATGTTCTTGGTGAGAATACAGGTCTACAAGATAGAATTGTGAGGGAAGAGGGTTAGGACATTTTTATTTGCTTGTATCTCTCACAGTTTGCTGTCATAAGTTACTGTCTCTAAAGAAAGAATTCTGGGAACACTGTCTGTACCTCAACTCATCTAGTAAACAGACCATCATCTAAGTACTAAATGACACATACTTCATTTATCGTATCACTTAAGTTTAAAAATATAAAACAACACTAAAAACATTTAGCAGAAAAATCTTTCAGGCTGCATTTCCTCAGCATTGAGAAGTAGTAACTAAAATCTCTAATGCATTTTGACTTACTAAAACTGTACATGAAGACATTTCTTCCAATCCCTGCTTGGGTCAGTTTCAGTAATTTCAGTGAAGTTACAAGCCAGGAACCCCAACCCTCCTCTTTCCTTTCACCCTTTCCTGGCCTACAAAAAGTGATGCAGAAACATAGATCTAAGTATACAACAATCAGTGCAGTAAACTTCCTCACAGACATGGTTTTTAGGGAAAAAAAGCAGCAGGGAGGAGATTGGCAAACTTATGGCAGCACAAGCAGCTGTAAAATGCAACTCAGCTGTTGATTGCCTTATACCGTTTTCTCTCTTAGTACTCTACTCTTTTCCAAATTGGTGGCCTTATTTTTTCTCTGGTTTCCCATTACCTTTTTTTTTTCTACTCCATTGCATCATATGCTCTGTTTGTGCTCTTAGAACTTCCCATCCCTTCTATCTGTCCTATTCATCTAATACTTAGGGCAGAGATAGTTTCTGATTAGAGGTTTGTGTGATGCATATTTCACTTAGTTCTTGCTCTCACGTTTCCTCTGTAAACATCTAAAGGTAAACACAGATAACACAAAAAAAAACCTTTCAGTTTATTGCAACTGGGTTTGTCCTTTTTCTGAATTCAAATATTTTGATCAAAACTATGAACAAAGCTTTTTCCTACCAAGTGAGCAGTTACTCTGCATTCTCCCATCTGTAGAGCAACGAAGCATGGTGCCCACCACACGGCCTCCTACTACGATGACACGTACATCCTTGCCATGGGACTCTTTAACATATTTTTGAAATAAGTACGGGGCGTCGTGACGGATCAAATGGCTCAGGTCTGCCAGATGGTGTTTGTCTCGTGCCAGGAACACAGCTTTGCCTGTATAAGAAAAGGATGCATTGTAGGATGGGAAGAAGCTACTAATTTGTGCTGAGTCAGTGATTCAACACAGAGAAGTAAAACCTCTGACCACTATATTGCTCATTCTTACATGCACTATCTGTAGTTTATGTGCATTTACAAATTCTTCTGCACACATTAGCATTCCAGTGCTTCAGTGTTTCTAAGCATTCAAGTACTGAAAGAACAGAGGAGCCATGAGAAGAGTATAAAAATAAATAAAAAAATAAAAGTAAACAAAACCAAAAAGCTTTAGATAAAGGAGATATTTTTGCAATTTCAGTCTGTTTTTCAGTCTGGGGTGGTAAAGTTAACAAGTCCTTAATGAAAGAAAAAAGGGGAAAAAAAAACAGTAGACATTTAATTAGACCCACAGCCTACATGTTTGATACGGCAAGAACTAATCACATGAAACTGCTAAACAACAGATTGCTAGGAGCTCTTAAGTGACTAGTATTATTGCAAAGGTGCTTCACTACTAGGAAGTTGCTGAAAGCTGCTCTTCCCAGTACTTCTAAGAACTCAGAATTCCAGAATGAGGCTTAGCTGTGAAGCAACTTAGTTCAGAACAAAATACTACACTCCAAAGTATCCAAGATAAATTTAGCTGAACATTCCACAAAACTTAAATGGTATGCACTGTAATTTTGAAAAAACCTCTTTAGCTCTTCAGAAATTACTGGCTTTTCTGCCAGCAAACTTAGCAAAGATTTAAGTTCAAACATGTCATTTCATTCTCCTTCATTTCTAAAGCACATCAAAGACTTCTCCATTCTCATCCAATTTTACTAATACAAATGAAAAGCATTTGAGGAAGACTCCATCATTTCCATCTCTTTTCTCGTCTTACAAGAAGTCACCCATTTCCATCTTTAGCTACTTCTCCCAATTCCTCTCTCACTTTGTTAATGACTCGTTCATGTCATATTAAATGTATGTTTTGCAGTAAGGCTACATTGATTTTTTATGGCAGAATTGTCACTGAGTTATGCTGCAATATTAAGAAAATGCAAAAATCAATTTATAAACTGCCTATTCTAAGAAAACAGAATTGCAACTGTAGCAGACCTAGCAGAAATAATGTGCTAAGAATTCTAGCAAGTGCTCAACTGGAGAAGTCTCTGCTTTCTTAGGGTTTAAGTCCTTCACAGCACAAAATGCTGCTTGAGGAACACGAAATTTCTTATAAGAATCACAGCAGCAGAACACAGACTTAAAAGTAAGGCAAAAAAGCAAAATCTTCTACGTGATCTCTCCCATGCTCAAGTTTAGCTCTCTTACAGGCAATTACTCATACTGTATTCCTAGAACTAGACAGAATGAATGATGCTTTGGAGAAGAACTACTTTGTTTTTGGTGATAATGCATCACCACAAAATCTTGGCAAAATAAAAATGGCACATTTGCAGCAGGAGCAAACTGCAGAAAATTGGCTTAGGTGAGCACAACTTTTATTCATTAAGTGACTCCTGTGAACATTTGTCTCAATTTTAAATACCATTTGAAAATGGCCCATCTTAAATTAATTTGAAGAAGTTTCCCCAACTCTCTTAATGTGAAAGTGCAGGCACTGTGATAAATTTGCATTAAAATGTATGGTATGTGAAGTACATAAAATTTGTAAACAAAATTACAGAATTAATTGATGCTTTAGGACCCTCTGTAGGTCATTTGGTCCCAACACTTACTCAAGCAGGGGCACCTACAGCAGGCTGCCCAGGACCATGTCCAGATGGCTTTTGAGCATCTTCATGGAAGAGACTCCGCAACCAATCTGGCCAACCTGTGCTAGTGCTCAGTCATACAGATACCATGAAAGTGCTTCCTGGCGTTTATAGGGAACATCCTGTGTTCTAGTTTGTGTACGCAGCCTGGCATTGGGCACAGCTGAAAAGAGCCTAGCTCTCTCTTCTTGACACTCCCCCTTTAGATAATTGTAGACTTGGTAAAATGCCCTCTAGGCCTTCTTTTCTCTAGGCTCAATGGTCTCTTCTCTTCCCAGCCTACCCTCACAGAAGAGGTGCTCCAATTCCTTGATCATCTTCATGGTCCTTTGCTGGACCTCAGCTTCATGTCCCTCTGTTTCTGAGAGCCCAGGACTGGATTCAGCACTCCAGGTGTGGCTTTTCCAGTGCTAAGTAGATAGTAAGGGTCACTTCCCTCTACCTTCTGGCAATACTTTGCCTAATGCAGCCCAGGATACACTAACCTTAAGCAGAGATTCATATGAATTCTAGCTAAAAAATTGAAAAGAAAGATAATAGCTAGAAACTCTACAATTATTTCTAGATCTTAACAAGAAGCAATGTCAAGGCAAACCCAATCCAATTCCTCAGTTACTCCACATATGTCAAATTCTGCTTGCTGAAAAGTCAAATTCCAACATCACAGATTGCAAAGGTCTGCAAGCACTTTAAGACCATACAAATAGGTATTACTGCCAAAATCTTCTACTGCCACAGCCTTTTGCTCTTAGTCTTCCACTAGATCAGTGCAGAATTTGTGAAAATAAATGGTAATTCAAGCAATGAATTAATCCAAATAAACATAACCAGTCTAGATTTAGCTAATACTTGTTCCTGAATCATTTACTGAACGTTTACAGAAACTATCATGTTTCAGAAGAGCTGTACCAGAATAATCAAGTGGAAATAAACAGGTGCAATAAGAAGGAAGAAGGGATGTCATGTGGGTTTCTATTAATTTATGGTAATTCCTGGTTTATGTGCTTAAACATCAGCTTCAGACTCTTTACTACTCTAGTATTTTTCAAAGTGGATTAAAAACTGCGTGATCTACTGTAAAAATAACCTCTAAAATTGATTCCAAATCTTTTTACTTTAGTAGATCACTATCTACCATTAAAACTGATGTAGTATTTTAGATCCAAAACTTAAATCAAAAGAATGATAACAGAAAAATTTTATGTGAACCTGCTGCAATATCACCAGTACTGTGAGATTTTTTTCCCCCCAAAAAAAGAAAAAGATTCCATTTGGCAAACTGTATATGATATTATATTTAAATCAGAATCCTAACTATAGAAAAAGTCATTTAGAAAGAAAAGACAAATTACGGTTTATTGAACAAAAATTTTTATTTCTTATGCCTGTTTAGAAACATCCCTAAAGTCCAAGGTAGGCACTTGTCCATACCCCTGGAGCCAGGCCTTCCATTATTCCAGTTCAAAGCTCTCCTTGCAGAAGTCACTAATGTACTGTTAACTTTGAACCCTTACCCTCCCTGGTATTTCAAGATCATGTTCTATTAAACTGTTTCCCAGTATTGCAGCCTACTCAACATTCAAAATTTGGAGGCTAGAAGAATTCAGAAGTACTGCAAAAAAAGTTCAATACCCAATAGAAAACCTTAACTATTACTCCTTGACAACACAAAATCTCAAGTACTGCTCAGAGTACTCCCTGCCTTCACATCTGACCTCAGACCCACCTCGGTGACCCCGCGTGTTCTTCACCACCATAGGGAACTCCAGCACTTCTGCCTCATCAATCATTTTGGCAAAATTCTCATGACCACCTGGTAAAAGAAAACCAATAATATTATATGCCACCAGCCTGGTGTAGCCAAACTGGGGATTTAATTGTGACACATTCTCACTCTTCCAACTTCGATAATGCAGAGGAAAAAAAATAACAGTTAAGAATTGGTCACAGATCAAAGTCACAATTTTAAGGTGTTTGTAATCTGTGCCTTACCAATTTCTACTTCCTTTGGAATGTAAGACACAAACTGACAATCATAGAATGGCTTAAGTTGGAAGAGACAATAAAGATTCAGTTCCAGCCCACCTGCTGTGGACAGGGTTGCCAACTCCTAGATCTGCCTGAAGACCCATCCAACTTGGCCTTGAATGCCTCCAAGGCTTCCCTGGGCAGCCTATGCCAGTGCCTCACCACTCCCTGAGATGAGAATTTAATCATAACATCTAACCTAAATCTCTTTTAGATTAACAAATGTTTAATAATGAAAGTGGTCCTTGATCACAACCCCAAATTCAAATTTAAATGCCCTGATTCCACCATCTTGTTCCAGTTTAGCCCTTCTACTTTATCATCTAAATTTTCTAACAGGAAAATAGCACAGACATAACACCAGGAACAGTTCCATCCAAACTACAAGCCAGTAAAATAGCATGGAATACAAAGTCAAGGCGTAATCCTGACAGCAACAGCAATTCAAATCTTGTGACCCATTTCCCCTTTTCTAAGACTTAAGTCTCTTGCATCTCTTTCTCCCTATTTCTTGAATTACTACTTTGATCTTCTCACTGATTGAATCTGTAAGAATCTTAAAGAGTAACATTTAACATTTATGATGGATATTTTAATTTTGAGTTCTTTGATTCACAGGAGGCTGACCACAGTACAAGAAATAAGACAAGTCAGCAGATGAAGGGATGAGACTCCTTTAAAACCATGTGCAGTAAAGCACAGAAGTTAAGCCAGGACACCAGTAAGAAAGCCAGAAGCAACTAGAACTACTCCATCACAGATTTTAATGCATGTCACAGAATAAAGTGTAGTTCAGTACATCCTGTTTTTCTTGGCAAAGCCAACTCTCCTTTATAACTTGATACTTGTGTAGAAAAGAAAGGTAACGCTTCTGTCAAATTCCAGAGACAGGCATTAAAAGACAGGTAGGGAGTTAGGAAGAAACAGAGATGTTCTCCAACTACTCCATCATTCTTAGTTTCCCTTTCCCCACAATGAATTAGAAAACCCCTTTCTTAAAGAGCTAGAGAAATTTTATCTATAAAGAATGGATATTTCTTCTCAAATTTGTTTTCATACTAATTGATAGAAATAGTTGACTGATCTTTTATCAAGTTTGTGTTTTTGCCAAGTTTTCATTAGAAAAGCCTATCACTGTAACTGCATGAAGGAGAGGATAGCATTAATGCTTCCCAAAAAAGAAAGGAAGGGTGAGAGGTGCATTCCATTTTTTAATGTATTTTAATTAAAGCAAAAACAAAACCATGGTAGCTCAAACAAATGGTTCTCCAAATCTGGTACTCTGTAATGAACCAAAGACTCCAGAGGCAGGAACAAGGAGCATCAGTAATTAACTGATGGAGGGAACTCCAGAGGGAAACCAAACCTCAAAGAACTGTTAATAAGTACTTGAGCATGTGAGCTTGTGTTATTTCTGGCTTTTCATAACAACTAATATTTTTACAGATGTTTCTATTTATATAGAAGTTTGCCATATTTTCAGATTTTACTAAACTCCAGATCTTCAATATCCTGTGATATTCAGTTCCCTGAGATTGTCTGTTGTTTTAGGCAACTGGAAGAGTTCAAGGTGTTTTAGAAGTAATCAGCTAAACTAGTTGCTGGGAGGTAGAGGCATAATTGCACTACTCCTCATAAAATATCACACCTAACCAACAAAGCCAAAGCCAGCATGTGACTACCAGACTTTCGCTAGTCATTGATCACTTATCTGTGGAATCAGCCTCTCCCTACTTAATTCTAAGGATTTCCAAAACGTGACTCACTATAAAAGCATAAATTCTGCAGGCAAATATTCTATTATTTGATTCCAAAGGCTTACCATACGAAAAGGTGTCTGGCAGGGGCACACCATGACCAGCGAGTTCTTGAAACGTCCAGAACTTATTGACACAGTTGAGGATGGCCTGGGGACGATTCATTAATCGACAGCCCATCTTCTCTAGATGGCGAAGGACTGTGATATCACTGTCACTTTGGACCCAAGGTGTTGGTACCCGGACGACAACCACCTGGGGGTAAGCAGTAATAAGCTCCCCATTCACCCGAAGACCTAAAGAAGGAAAACAAAACCATTCCAGTGGTAAGCATTAGAGCAGCACATATCTTGTCAGTCATACAGCTTCATACATTACTTTTAGATTGTATTAGGGCACATAATCTTAGGCCATTTCCCAGGATGAAAAAGTTTTTGCTAGGTTGAATTGCCAACCTTCCTCTGCATGTTAGCTGCACACTACAATGACAAGAGTAGTAACAATAACTCAGGAAATGCCTGCCTCTCACATATGTCTTGCCTACATGATACAGTTTCTACCTTTCTCAGGCCTCCTTGTATTGATTCCTCTGCTTGTGAAATCATGTTACACAATCACCAAAGTAACTGAGGTTAAGTATGACACTTAAAAAAGCAACATTTTTAACACATCATTTAAAAATCTGACATATAATAAATAAATACTCAAAATTAATGTTATCAACTAGCAGAGCAGCACTAGTTAACATTAAGGAAGGAACTGTAAGGAAAGTCAGCTCCACCACCAAGACCAATGCTATCACCTTCTCATGACCTACAGTTTTACAGACAATGTTTCCGAAAAAAAGAAAAAAACATGGAAAGAAAGTTGCAAGAACAGAAATATGACAGGATCAGTTGGGAAGACATCAAGCTTGATAAAGACAGTCCTACAGCTGAAGGAAGAAGAGACAAGTATTTTATATTCCTTTAAGACCAACTGATTTGAATGTAAAATACACAGTTCACACTGCTGTCAGCAACTTAAGGGTTAAAAATGAGAAAAAATGAGCTGAGAAATCATAGTTCATCTGCATTTCTGTGCCTACGAAAGGCCTGTTCTAACTATCTAGACTTAGCCCAAAATAATTACCTGATTAGCTCTATTCCAAAGTCATTATTTTTCAAACACAGACATGCACCTACCCAATCTGTAGACACGCATGCTGTCAGGAAGTATATTTTCTTTTTATTTTCATTTAAAAGTACATTTGAAGCAATTCTCAGGGGACAAGAGATCCCATGTGTACTTCTAGTTTTCTTTTTCCAACCAGGTTGTATCTTAGAGTTTGTACCAAAAATAATGAAATAAGCACTGAGCTCCCTAAATGGAAGTAGAAATATATTGCCCAGCCATCAGGAGGGCATAGAGCCAAAACAAAGCCATATCCAATAAAAATCTCTTCCCCTCATCCCCAGTTTCCATCGCCAGAACTGTACAGAGATCAGAAAACAAACAGACGGATACTCTGGATGTTAACCTCATTAGCACCAAGCACTGCCGCATTGCAGCTGACATGATTTGCGTGTTTAAACAAGCAGGCTTCACACACACACACACACACACACACACACACACACACACACACACACAGTCTTATAGAAGTATCCCAAATAAGATTAAAAACAAAGACAGAAAACTGAGTTGAATGTGAATGTCAGGAAATGGACTATCATCTCTTTAATCAGAAAAAGAGTACAGATTTAAGAAAATACTCTAACTTGTCAGTCAGATTCCATTTATTCCATTTACACATCTAGAAAATATATTAAGGTTTACATTCAGGTACACTCACTTTCTGGAACTGTAGTTGCATGCATGTTCTGATTCATGTGCAGGCTGTGAAGCAACCCATTTTACAAAGTACTGTATTTCTACAGACTCCCAAAATTGCCACTGTACACCTCTGCTATGAACCAAAATTTCAGTTTCCTAATTCATAAATTCTCAAGAGTCTAATTTGTTACTCTTCTTTCCAGCCATATCACATGCTGAAGTTCTCTACGTTGGAAAACTGGAATTTGAAGAAGAAACGTAGGGTTCTTCCGTTAGACTTGACTAAGAGACTAATGTAAATTCAGACAAGCAACCTCTCCCCTTGAGTGACACTGGAAGTAAAGTGACATTATCAACAGAACAATCTGAGCTTTTGTTCCTGATTCTAATATTTTCTCTTCTTTGGATACTCTTCCCTGCAGAACATTTTTTTTCTCCCTCTCTCCTAACAGAAGAGAATTTACAAACAAGGAGTACAGCTACTCAATGACATGTACAATTTGAGTCACCACTACTGACATATGCCATAAAAATTAGCAGCAGTTTCCCAGCAACACAGTGCCGCAAACAGAAGCGACTTTATCACAGCAAAAAGGAGTCAGATTCTACCACTTTGAAGAACAAGCTTGTATTCAATATTCCATCTGACACCCAGCAGTTAACGGTCATTACTGATGAGTGGGTTGATAAAAACAATGCTTTATTCACTACGCTACACTGAAAACAGTAACACAGAACACATTAATACACACAAATAATTTCTCTTCCAGAGAAACAATTCATGAATGCAAAGAAGGAGAGGAAAATAAAATAAAATAAAATAAAAATAAAATAAAATAATAAAATAAAATAAAATAAAATAGGAAGAGATGCACTACAGTGGGGTTAAGAGCTAATCAATTTTTTTTGGAAAACCGAGATGGGGTCTATTTCCTTTACAGTAATGGCACTATTCTAGTTCCACAACAGTAACAGTTGAAGAGAAACTGATGGTTGCCTGCAGACAATGAACAGATCTCACACACACACGAAAAAAAAGCAAGAGGCAGAAATTCAGACCATGTGCAAGTACCTCAAACAATAGCAACTTGGTCCATTTGTTGGCCTCCTCAAATGATGCCCATGACATTGCAGACATGGAAAACAGATAACTGTGATATCTTTTGTAGTATCAGTATTGATAGTAAAGAAAGGTAAATTGCACTGATGATCCAATTATGAACTTCACCAACATTCATTTCACTACTGCTTGGAAAAAAATTCTGAAGTTACAAAACATTTGGGTATTCTTTGGCGCTATGAGATAGAAGACACCTGAGCTGGAATATCACACTATATCTATCACTATCACAAAAATACATGTAAATCCTGCACTCAAGCAAGACATGCTCTTCCACTCAGTTTTCTTTGGCATTCCCCCATGAGATGTAAGTCTGCAAAATGGAATATGTCAGACCTTTAACATTAAACAGCAAATACCACACTATTAAGAATAAAGTGCAAAAGAAGTTTTTGCAATGACAACTGTAATCAAACAGGAATTAACTTAAAATATAAATCGCAGTAATAATCAAATTGATAAAACTATTTTCATTCCGAATTACTGTTTTGAGAAACAATTAAAAAAAAAAAAAAAAAAAAACTGACTCAACAAGACCATGGATTACCTAGGACTCAAATTCCGGTCTCCAAGTACAGCACAACCGTAAAAACCACAGCTTGGTTAACTTATTTAATAAAATGGTACAATCCAAATTTAAATGCTTAAATGCACAAGTACTAGGAGAACTGCTCAGGCTGCCATGTAAATCTAATCACTGATACTGATTCTGTTTTTACACAATTTGAATGATCAGAATTAATTGATATTCCCTAATAGATGAAAATATGAAAGTAGCTGGAAAAGTCAGAAGTTATAGCCTGAGTAAGAAACCCAACGACCATAAGCACAAGAGAAAGGAAAAAGAAACTTTCTCAGGGAGAAATACTATATTAGCTAGTACTTTTATGTATGTTAAAAAAGAGTCAGTAAACACGTTTCCATAATCAAACTCGTAACTCAAGAAAGCAGGTAAAAACTGTTTCAGTACGCAGTACATTTCAAGCATGTGGAACACGTTTCTAATATCAGCAGTATACAAGTAGAATAATATATGTCCACTATGCACACAACATTCTGAAATATAAAATTTGAATTACATTTTCAAAAACACTAAACATATACCAGCTTCTATCACATTCTTAAAAGGATCTAAGAGGGAATAAGAAATTCTCACACCCCTCCCCAAAAATTTCAGACTTCACCTCAGATATCAGTATGCTATCCTGAAAGACTCCAACTATCAGCTTCACTATACCAATTTATCAGTCCAACTATTTTGGATTTGCTAACACTTCCCAAATGAACAGACTTTGAGTAAGGAGGCTAGTACAAATTCAATTTCTTCAGCTGGGTAAAAGAGACTAGCCTCTCAGCACAAAAAATGTTACTCACAATTCAAGGACATCTCATTCTGCTAAGTTTTTTCCCAACTAATCAGCTACTGTAACAAGAATCACTGAATTGCTTACAAATCTTGACTCACTCTTGTTCTCAAAGCAATGCGTTACTATTTCTGCTTCATTCATCCTTCCAGTATCCATCAGGCACAAGATGCTCCATAACATGTGTGTTGAAGTTCTAAAGTTTTTAATAACTACATACAGCATACTTGAAGATAATTAAATCCTAACTGCCATATAAAAGCTCTAAAGGAAAATACCTCAAACTTTATTATACTAGTAGTAGTTTACTGGCAATAACAGAATACATGTTTCCTCACTAACCTCTACAAATGAAACTACATTTCTACAATTTTTAAAACATCACATACTTTGAACATAAATACTGCCACGGAAGTTAGTTATTAGTAATAATTAACAAAAGCAGAATAAATTTTTAAAAAAAATGCAACTGTATAAATCAAAAGTCTGCTTTAATACATTGACGAGTCTATCTTATAAAATGATTGTAAGTAAGTGTCCATAAATCAGGTGATACTTCATAGTATAGCACTTCAAATGCAATTTTATTTAAACAAGATTCTGAACTGCAGAGCACTGCTACAGCTACAAACAGAAAGTGGGCATCTCAATTGAATCAGTTCTACTTCATGTCCCTTCCTTGACTCAGAGTACCTCTTAATTTCCCAAGAACGAATACAGAACCATTCTTACAAATGCCTGTGCTAATGAAGATAGTGAAAAACTTGGGGAGGCGGATGACACTCAAAACAATTATAGCCATTCTGGATAAGGCATTCTTTTCCAAACAATGGAAAACAGGCCAGCCACCTGTATGTATAGTTCATTAATACTAACTAGACTTGATGGCTATATCTGTTTTTCTGAGCTACATTTCTATTCACAATACACTGCTTATAATCCCAAATCACAAGCACTTCAGAATCATGCATGAATGTGAAATGATTGGACCCAAACA